AATCCGCTCCTTAATATGTCGGCTGTGCAAAATGACAAACATCTTGCAAATTTTGCAATATCATTCATCACAAACTGTCAGCAGTGTTTGCAAATCTGACTTGCAAGATCTTTTAAATGTGTTATTCTTAAAAGGCAACAGTACTAAGTTTTTAGACAAAGTGCAGGAAAATTTAAGCACTTCTGACAAGCAGAAACATTAACAGTAATCATTTTAAAAACACTCGCATCTTTTGCCTGCATGTTTAGCTGTAAATAATGCTAGAATGTATAAAAGCTTTAAAGTAAAAATGTAATAAATACTTTTTATTATGTTTCATAAAAGATAAAAAAATGCTGGGAGCCATGAGAATGTGTTATCTATACATGTGAACGTATAGAGATGGATGGCTCCCACTCTCGGATGGCTCCCACTCTCCTTTCTACTAGCCAGATTGGAGACCTGGGAGGACAGCTTGAAAAAGGCTCTGAAGTCAATTCTGTACTATACATGCTTCATAAAAGATGAATATAAATGCATTAGTTAGACACGGTGAGCTAAATTAGAAGGTCAGGCAGGGCTGGGAGGGCTGAAAAATCACACAACCAATGAGTGTAATTACTCTTTTTTTAAGTCTATTAAGTGGTGTTGTTCTATCAAGGCTCAGGGGTATAGGACATGAAGAACAAGATAAAGTAATGTGTATTTATTACTCCCACTGGATCAATTTACCAGATATTTTCAGCTCCATAAAGCAAAATACACAAATGCCGCCTTTGTTACTTTTCTCAAACTGCTTTATTTTCTCTAAAAGAGGGATTGGCTCTTGCAGAAAAAAAAAAAAAGTTTGCCCCATGGAGGTCCCCAAGCCAACCCCTCTCAGTAGGGGGATGAGAGAAAGCTGGCAAGAGTTTAAGTAGGGTAGGAGTGAAGTGGAGGCAAGGGGTGGGGGGGAGGAGCTGTCACCTCAAGACAGAATGATTCGGGTTTCCAGATCTGAAGGAAAAGTGGGAACATGGCGCCGCAGTACCAGTGAGGTCATCAAGCCTGAGGCCTCACCTTTTGGTCGTCCACCCCCCACCCCCCCCCCGAGCTGGCTGTGAAGTCACTGCAAGTCACCAGCCCTCTGGAACTCTGACTCCTGTGGAACAGGGAGCACCCACCTTGCAGGGACTGGAGTCTCCACGTACGGAAGTCATGCTGGACCCCAGAGGGGCCTCCTTGCATAAATGATCTCACTAACGCCCAACAGCAACACTGCAGAGCCATGGCAAGAAGAAGGAGAAACAGAGGCTGGAGAGACCGAGTCACCGCACAGAACAGTGGATCTGGTTTTCAAACTCCATGTCTGTCTGAACTCAGGGCTCACTCTCTAGGCCTCTGTACTCTCCGAATACCTAGACAAAGCAGTGCCAGGGGCACCATTGGTGTGAAGTCAGGCAGCCTGCTCCCTGGGACTCACTGCGGACACATGGGGTGCCGGTGAGTCTCACCAACTCTCCCCGCCTTTGTGCCAATGCTCGCTGACCACTCAGGAAGACAACCGGTAAACTGAGAGGGGCTGGAGACACCTCTGGCCTTCAAAATGGAGACAACTCCTCGCTCCGTGTTTCTGCATTGCATTATGCATGCCAGAGTCTCAAAGACTCTGACTGACCACGATCCCCATCCCCTCACCTCTACACTATATGCGAAGTCAACCTTTACCCCAAAGTTGGTCACATGTTCCTCACCCTCCTGCCAGGATCCAGAGAGGGAAGAAAGTCTGTATGAAACAGGACAGAATGTTTCCATTTAAAATTTTTACCCACCCTTCTCCCTGTGCACATGAAAAAGGAAACCCAAAGACACCTGGGCTGAGGATAATTATGGTATTTTAGATCTGTGCATACGGCCACTATCACTAATGATGATTTCAGGGACAAAATGATTTATGGAGAAGGATTCAGCTTGCTCCCATCTTTTCATTTGGTAAATGGGAATAATGTCTGCTTTCCCAACTTCTTTCCTAAGACGGGCTCCAATAAAACAAAACATGTACAAGTTCTTTGAAAAAGCACCAGCCGGTATACAAAGGCATATTATTATGGAAAGCTGTCTGCTTGGTCTTTGGAGCAGTTTCATTTGACAGAATATGTGGGTGGTTGTATGAATCTAGCTTTGTCTATTCACAAACACATGGGTTTAATAAAGTGCAGTTTGTTTTTTAAGGTGTGTGGTCCATGGCTCACTGAAACACTCCTGTTTGACAAACACTGACCATGATTCTAAGAAAGGTGGAGCCCATTTTTATCCTCCTAACAATGGACAGCAGAAGTATAAATCTCCCAAGTCCACAGGAATACCTCGAGCTGGCTCCATCCGCCACTTCCTGACCCTGCTCTTGAACTCTCACTCCACCTTAACGCTGCGAGCCAGGCGGACAGGCACTCTGATCTGAGTCACACAGCGAGCTTCCTGGGGTGGGCTCTGGCCAGAGCCCTTGCACAGTCCAGTGGCTGGTTGCAGGCTGCCGAGTGTTTCCTTAACACACAAATCCATTGTGTCCTGATTACTCCTCCCAAACCCGGGAAAAGAGGGCTGGGAATTTCACCATCAGGCCACCGGGGATGAAGTGACACGTGCCTGTGCTGTTTGCTCAACATTTCTGAACATGATGTGCAACTATAAAAATGTCTAAAAGTACACAAAACTCAGCCCTATATTCTTATTTCTCTTATTTCTTTATGAATAAGAAGTTATTTCCTGGTTTCTTTAGACCTTAATTTTAAAATCAGATTTATCTTCTGGTTTTTTGATAAATATTTACAGAGAGGCAACTGTGAGCTAGAGCTCTGTGCTAGAGGGTGACCACAGGATTGCCTCTTTTTATCCTTACATGATCCCTGTGAAGTCAGCATGATTATTGTCCCCATTTTATAGATGAGAAACTGAGGCACCGAAGATAAATCACACATTCAACTGCTCACCAGGATTAGGATTTCCTGCTCTGCAGAGATTGGATGGAAGAGCCCTCAGAAGCAAGGATGCCTCTCTTACTCAGCTGGCAAATAATCGTAGCTACCTTCTGTTGAGTGCTAAATAAGTGGTTAAGATCACAACCAGAAAAAGTATAAAATGTTTCCATCACCATTTGATAGAGAAGGAAATTGAGGCACAGAGAGGTAAAGAATTTTGGAGGAAAAAAAAAAAGAATTTTGACCACAATTGCATGGCTAGTAAGTGCCTTTGATCTATCTGTTCTACCCCTACCAATCTGACTCTCCAGTTCCTTTAGCAGATTCTAGAGACGTCAAATGCCCAATGTAAAGTGAAGACCATCCCCACATGGAAAGATTAAGAAAAATCTGGCATTGTGGCCATGCCTTCTTTGTACCACCAAGACACCCATGGCACTGACCATTGGGTGGACACACATCGATCACATCATTGTGCTATAAAATGACCAATTACAGTCCCATAGAAAATGCATGGGAGCTAGATTCTTGCTAGGCAGAGGGACTTAAAATAAATCTCTCCAAGGCACATCTGCACTAGAGAAAGAGATTGCCATTCACTATCACTATGAGATTATTTCATTGCTTACCAAGAATAAGGCAGGGTGAAAGAGAAGGATGTGTAAGATGGAGGCCTGACACATCATATGATTTTTTCCTAAGGTGAAATGCTTTCAGTAAGTTTTTCCTGAAGTGAACAGCACCAGGCAGAAGGTCCTTGGAACCTGAAGGTTGAAACTGAAGCCTGTGTGTCTCTTGCCCCAGGTCTAGTAGAGAGGGGCTGCTCTTGCTGGTCACAGGTCTTCCTCTCTTTAATCAGGGGTGTCCCTCTCCTCTCTTACTGGCTCCTTTCATCTGTGCATCAGCTACGGGGACACCTTTCTCCTGAGGCCTGTATTTACAGGTGGCTCTGCTCCCCAGGGCACCAGGCACACAGGTAGGGTTTGATGATAAACTGATCCCCAAAAGAAGTCGGCTGAGCTAGGGAGGACACCAACTTCATTTTTATAAGTGTTTTACAAGAGAAACAGACCTAGAAATGCCGTATCTCCAGTCTTACTCTGGCAAGGAGAGCATCCCTCATCTACTCATTCAATTTATCATAGTTTTCATTTGTGTAGTAAATTGCAACTTCCTTTTACTGTCAGTAAATGGTGAGTGGTAGTTCCACTAAATCTGTACTTTGAAATTCCTTAGCATTTAACTGTTAGTTAATATAGTAGAGACTCTGAGTCCTCCCAGAACTTTAGTTGTACTTTAAATGTACCTGTTACTTCCTGTTATGATTTAGTTATGTGCGGTGATCTCTCTGATACAAGGATATAGAGACAGAAATGCTGCCAACAGTGCCAACAGGTATGGAACAGCAGACAATAAATGCGAACTTCCTACTTTCTGTATTAGCAACTAACAACATGTTGCTGCATGACATATATTACTCTGTCTTGAATTTTTGTTTGATTTCTCACATGTTTGTGCCCTATTTTCCAGCTAAGGAGGATGCCCCTGGTGGTAAGAGGCCCTGTCTTACTTGTCCAGATGCAAGATCTACCAATATGTTTCTTTTGAGCTCTAGCTGCACCAGGGATAAGTATAAATCCTCATAGGTAGAAAGTCAGTGTTCTTTTTCCTCTTGAGAGTTGGTGTGATGCAGTGATTAATAACCTGGACTTTGAAGCCAGGCTATAGAGGTTTGATTCTCAGTTTACCAATTCACATGCTATGTGGCCTTGGGCAAATGATTTAACCTCTCTTTGCTTTATTATTTTCTTGGTAGTAGTACCAACTTCAGAGAGTTTTTGAAAGGAAGAAATGACATAATATATGTAAAAGTAAGTATAACACTCCCTGGCACATAAATGCTTGCTACCTTTAATATTGTTTGCCTTATAGTACCAAATGCACAAAGGACATAAACATTGAGTTGTTTATCTAGGAACTAATTTTTATCAATGGCAAAGTTTTCTGCTAATTCCCTAAATTCAAGTGTCCAGAGACCATAACCCCAAAAAGAAGTATCCTGACCTTTGGCAAACGCTCAGGGTCACCAGGGTGCCGAGGAATGACCTTCTGTAACCTCTGGAAACCATAATCGATGGTGGGTTCGTTGAGCGCTGCAATGAAAAAGTCACATGATTAGAATAATTTCAGGAAATAAAACAGAACGTAACACTAATGGTATGAAAATAACTGGAAGTCCAAAGTTTAATTTGTACTTTTGAATTAGATCATGAGGTGATCAGATGCACAATACCCTTGCTGAACATTCCCACCATCTACTTCTGCTATTTACCATGGTGGGCAGTGACACACTCAAAAGAACATTAATAGCAGGTCCTGAACTCTGCTGTTCTGGCCAAATTCTATATTCCTTACATAATCAAAATGAGAAAGTAAAATGGCATTTGATGTGAAGTTTTAGGATTCACTACTTCGAAGCTCAGGTCAAAACACTCAAGGGCTTGTCTGCAGTTATCTATAGATTACAAACAGCAGGAGAACAAGGACTTGCTTCACTGAAAAATCTCTAGTGGACCTCAGCAGATATACCTCAGGCCTCCATGGCAAGTAAGCCTACAAGAATGTGGTCAGGAGCAGGGAGACAGGATCTTCTTGGCATAGAAAGCCTGTTCTACCCTTTGATAGAGCCTGCAAGGTGGTAGGTGTTGAAAATGCCCTTGATACAACACCCTCACATCTAAAATGACAGACTCATTCACCAACATCAATATTATCTCAGGAAGAAGATCAGCCTCTGTGGAGCACTAGCTTAGAACAGCTGGGTCTCCAAGAAAAATTCTTAAAAAGACTAGAAGAGTAAACTTGTAATAATATTTGGAGACAATGGGCTTTATTGTACCCATACAGTCTATACTCTCTTCAAAGCATCCTTGAATTAAATGTGATACAAAGTAGACTCTGGTCTAGAATTTTCCAAATTTCTTCCTAAGATATGAAATATCAAGCCTTCCTCATCTGACCAGGAAAAGATGGCAGCTCTGTCCTCTACCCACGTCCTCTGTATCCTCTAAGTAATAGGAAGGTGTGTGGGGGGGTATTTTTCCTTCTTTTCTTTTTTAGTGTAACTAACGTTTTCAACTACATATTTTCTCCCATGCAGAGTAAAAAGACAGTTTTTGTAGTTCTGACATTTAGCTATACATTAGAAAACAAGTTGCCACATGCTTTACTTAAAATGCATTTCCATTAACCTAAATTTTAAAAGTAAGATTCATACTACTACTAACTTTAAAAAACTGTATTAAATTCAAATAGGTCCCAAGGCTAATGGAAGCAATTTGTATACCAACCCAAACTGACTGGCCCACTTTTCAAAATACAGGTATGATAATCTTGTGGTTTTAAAAGGACATTTAAATTGAAAGACTGTGAATTTAGTACATAATTATACCAATAGAACCCTTTAACTTGTCAACTTGTAAATCTAAAAGGCTATCAATCATTTCTAAAGAGGAAATAAACCTTAAAATTCCTTGATTGACAGTGCTTACTTTTTATGTAAGGAAAAAAAAAAGCTGCGTAAAGTGGCCAGAAATCCATTTACAAAAGTACATTGTTTTACATAGGTGAGTAAAAAGCCAATAATTACACCTCCAAAAGACACATAAATCAGAGTAAGTACTTTTTCTTCACTTGTATATTTTAAGTTGGAGTGAACTTCAGGTAACTTTTTATTGAAAAGATTTTTTCCCAAATGTGATGCTTATTGAAGTTGTTAATAGAGTAGCATTTTCATTTAAGACAATGTAATCATTTTTGCAAATATGAGATTTAGCCATCTTCTCCCTCCTTCCCCCGCTTCCAAACAGTAAACTTTCAACCTGTCTCTTGTGGAAATTAACTAAAATTATACCCAGGTGTACCAAATCTCTCTATCTATACTAGTATATGAGTTAAGGCACAATATTTATTATTCCTCCCATTTTATGAATTACTTTCTAAACCCTTGAGAAGAATTCTTTTTTCAAATTAGATGTGTAGAGAAAAAGCCATAGAACTCTTTATGCAGGGAAGCTGTTACTCGTAAAATCCACACTATTTAATCAAGAAATGCATGGAAGGGACAGGAATGGGCACCTAGGTTTAAGTTATATATCACATCCATCCCCCACCCATAATACTAATTACCATCAAAGATGTTTAACCATAAAAATAGCTTTAGACAATTAAATGCATCATTTTAATATCTGAAGACATAATTCAGCATCCTGAAAATTCTAATTCTTGGTTTTATTTTTCATTCTAAGCCACCAATAAAACTTGAGTTGTTAACCTGCTCATTCAGTTGTTTGCATAATGAATTAATTCCTACTGTGTCAAGAAACCCATAGTTGTTAAATGAATGTCTGACATGTATGGGGAGGATGTGTTTCTCTGTCCACCAGCCAACACACAACAGAATGACCAACACTTAATATCTGCAATTAAAAGAACCAATTCAAATATCATATGGAACTAATAGCTAAAGAGCTGAGGAGAAGTCATTCTGCTGCCACAAAGAGTAATTGAGTTAGATATATTAAACCCATTATTCAAAGGAAAATAAGCATCTACTCTATGGAAAGTATACGATGTGAGGGGAAATATTTTGGATAGTAAGACAAAGGCTTTTAATTTATTTCCCATGCCTTTATGATTTGCTTTACACTCATATTTTTAAATATAATAACCTTCCCTTAATTCAGATACTGAATACTACAATGGCATGGTCCAGTGCTATCGACAAAGATAACACACACCAAAAAAATGCAAGACAAAGCTCATTGTCTTAAATCCACAGGTGCCTGATGATTTCTTTGATTGCACTGACTAGGGGAAAAATAACTGATTTCTCAGTGAGAGGGTCCATCAGATAAAGGCTATTAATTAAAAAACAAAAAACAAAAGAACTGAAAACAGATTAAATGTCTAGGGAGCAGGATGGTTAAATCATGGCATACCAATGAATGGAATATGATGCAGTCCTCAAAAGCAATGCTGTAGGAAAAATATTGATTGATATATAATATATTCCTAGGTTATCAAGCAGATTCCAGGAGCATATGTACAATATAGTTACTTTTATAAAATGAATGTACATAGAATTTAAAAAAAAAAGCATCTGTGTAGAGACTGCCTAACAGTAGTTATTTCTAAAAAGTGAATTTTAAAGTGCTTTTCTTCCTTCTCTTTGCTCTGTGCATTCTCCAAGTTTTCCACAATGAACATATATTACTTTTATAATCGGAGAAAAAGGTTAAGAGCGAGAGATTGTTGCTGAGATGGAATTTGACCTCCTTGTATAAAGTAATGACATAAGAAACTATGCCTTAAAAGGGGTCTGTATACCCTTTAATAACTTTGCATAGGTTATTACAGACCATAAGAAAAATAAGTAGTATACTTTTGGCCAGTTGTATAAATATGTGACTATTCATAAACTCTCTGAAAATCAACAGAGAGGGTAACGAGGAGGAATCATAAAGAATGGTATATTTATTTCATCAGTGGGGGTAGTCGTACCTTAGGGACATACGTCTACTCTGCAAGAATGTAATATAAAGTTAATCCTTCAACAAAGTGACCTCATTGTATTCAAGCACGGGACTCAGGAGGCACCAGTAGAAATGGGACTAATCAATTTTTCCCCCTAAAACTTGGGACAATTCTGGGAATCTAGTAGAGAAAGAAAAAAAAAACTTAATTGGGCATAATTAACCACAAATAACGAAGCATGAGCATCTTAGGTTGAAAAAAGAAAAGCAGATGAAGCTATAGACTGCAAAAGGAATGCAAGGATGATAGAGCATTATGTGACTCTGCTTCCAGACACCTGTTCCACAGTCTCTGAAGAGGGCTGCAGAGGTCATCCTAAACCAGGCAGGGACAGTAGCAGAATAAAGGAAGCTCAGAACTTGAGAAAAATCTGTACTCCCAAATTTTAAAAGGCCTAATTTTTAAATCATTGGAATAGAATGGGAGCAATGTAGGCATTTGAAAAATTTGACAAGATAATAAATTCTCCATTGATTCAATGATCATTTTTAGTGCCTACCATATGTCCAGATGGCATTTGTAGAATTAACTGTTTTGTGTCACAACACCAAAAGCCATTGAAAATAAACTTCCTGAAAGGTATATGTAATCCAACTCCAAAAGATGGACGAACTACTCTGTTGAGTTGGAACGCAGCTCCAACTTTCACACCCAGGCTTCCCTCCATTCAGAAGTCCACCCTCTTGCCTTCCCAAGGCTCAGACGGTAGATTACCACCCCTGCTCCTGTTTCACATGAAGTCTTTGCTTAGGGTCACACTACACTTTATAGGAGACACGGATTTAAGGCAATCAGATTATTGAGGAGCCACAAACATTTGAATTCCAGATGTTTTCAACTATCCTGTTTAAACTTGGAGATAGATACATGTTAGCTGAGTAAGCTCTGTAGGACCCTATGGAGCTGTGTATATATGCTACAGTAAGTCTGAAGCTCTCCTATAAATGCATAGAAAGCAAGATCAAATGCTTCTACACAGGAAAGTAAGTTTTCAGGGCAGATGTATCAGCTGAGATTTCAGAACAGTCCTCTCACCCATAGCTAGGATATGATACTAGTGAGTGGAGAGTGGTAGACAGCACGTGATCTATGCATGGAGTTGGAATTTCAGGGGCATCAAAGTCATTACTTTTCAAAGAGTAGAAGTTAATTACATGGTTAAAAAAAAAATCAAGGTTGCCCGGGTGGCTTAGTTGGCGAAGCGTCAGATTCTTGATTTCGGCCTAAGTCATGATCTCAGGGTCTGAGATAGAGCTCCATGTCCGGTTCTGCGCTCAGCCGGGTGTCTGCTTAAGATTCTCTCTGTCCCTCTCCCTCTGTCCTTCTCCCTCCCTCATGATCTCACGTGCTCACTTGCACTCTCTCTTACTCTAGCTCTCTGAAACAAACAAATAAATAAATAAACAAACAAATAAATAAATCTTTTAAAAAAGAAAATCAAACCCCTATATATGGCCTTGTGTTGGACATGCTTATAAATAGCTTTGGGTACTTTCCCAATCTCACAATTTCAGACTCCTCCAAAGGAAACCAGTAACTTTCTATGCAAAACCAATCT